AACACCTTCTCTTCATTTAGTTACAATTGTTATTTTAACACTTCGTCAAGCATTAGAGTCATATTCATCGTTGATTGAATATAATAAAAATTATGAAATTGATCAATCAAGTGAAGATTTAAGTGAAAATGAAGATGAATATGTTGAAGAAGAAGAAGGTAACTATTTGTAAAATGCATTATAAAAAAACCAATATTCTTTTTCGCTTATACAGGAATGCATTTTTTTCGATTACGTATTCATCATTTACTTCATTCTATGTTTAAATTAGAACCTATTCATTTAGCAGCTACACTTTTACATCCTCGATATAGATTGTTAAAGAAATGTTCCTTATATGAAGTGCGAGAATGTCATTTATATATTCGACAACGTATGGCACAAATTAAATCGATGAAAACAAACAAATCAACATCTGATATTTCAGAAAAACATTCCTCAACAGTTAATAATGAAACATTAAATGAACCAGTAGAGAAAAAACCAAAACGATTTGGAGAAGATTTTGAAACTGGAAACGTTAGTGATGAATTTGATAATGAGTATGACGATGAGTTACACAAATATTTGGAACAACGTATTGATACAGAATCAATTGATGATAATCCATTATCATTTTGGTATCAAAATCGATTGACCTATCCTATTTTGTCTCAGTTAGCACGTTCAATTTATTCCATTCCAGCTAGTACCGCTAATGTGGAACGTACATTTAGTGGAAGTGGAATGATGATTAACTCAAGACGTACTAGATTAAATCCTGAACAAATCAACAACGCCATGTTTTTACGTTCAGTAAAACAAAATGAGTAATTGTATTATAATTGTTTTTCATTTTCGTATGTTTATTTTTTTCTATTTCGAAATTATGTTTATGCATGTAAAGTATGCCTTTTCATCTCATAAAATAAAATAGTCATTATGAAAATTTAATAAAAAATGTGTCGAAAAATAGTTTTAGAAAACATATTTTGGACGGGACGGGGCGGGCCGGGGCGGTGACGGTGCGACTTTTTTGCTGGCTCGCTCATCTCTGTTTGGGACCATATGATAATTGATTGAAGCATTGATTGGAAATATCTCTTGTTCTATATTACTGATGATATGGATCAAAGTATTTTCTCACAACTCGTCAAAGACTTCAGATTTATATTTATGTTAACAGTAATATTTTAAAGCAGTATGTTTTGGCATTTTTCGTAGGAATATCAACTATGAGTCTTCCTTTATTAGCAGTGGAAAAATCAATCCATTTGGTCAAAGTATGATAGAGATATTCATGCTTTTCTTGTTGGTAAAGTGACTTTCGGCCCACCCTGAATGTACAGCTTTTTTTACTTGAATCACTCATTAACTAACAGCAATAAATCTGATAAGTAGAAATGTTTCTCAATTGTTACTTCGCTCAAAATTCAGTTTTATTTTTCTCGTTTCTTCGTTCACACGATGAGGATATTCATCAAGAGCAGAATGAAAACAATCGAGCTAATGATGTCTTTATTTCTCTTTTTGTTCCTGTCAGAAAAACAACAAATTCATCTTGAAAAAAAATGGTGTATGAGGCAAGATATACAATGTAATTTGACTTGAGTCATCATAAAGCTGAAAATTAAACAAAATTTGGAAAGAATAATAATGCAAGCAATGACGTTGTACGATTTTCTTTCTCTTTTCTTCTTTTGTTGGCAATCATATTTTCTCTTCAAACTCAATAGAGTTTGTCGTTGAGTGTTAACGACAAACAAACATTCACATTTTATATCGTAAAAAAAACAGAAGGCAGCTACTATACAAATAGAAAAACTGATCTCTGTTTAAACGACCAACAATTATCCACCATTCTCGACTGCCTAATAAACGACGATTCACAACCAATATGACTGAAGAAAAATCAAAACAAAATATTTCCAAATCAATAATGGGTACCAATGCAAACACAACAGATTCATCGATTACCATGCAATCAACACGGTACATCAGTCAAAATTATTTGATCCTTTGGGTTGATGAAAAAATTGATCCAGCAAATAAAGGTTACCAAAATACACTCGAACAACTACAAAATATAGCCAATGAAGTCTATACTTTTACTCAACGCGATGAATGTGTTGACTTCCTCACTGAAGTCGATGATCGAAAAGCATTTCTCATTGTACCAGATACTATGGGCCAACCACTGGTACCCTTCATCCATGATATTCCTCAACTTCATAGCATTTACATCGATTGCAGTAGCAATACTACGCAAGAAGATTGGAGTAGTCATTGGAACAAAGTTAACGGTATATATACAGAAATGCCGCTCATCTGTGAAGCATTGCAAATGGCTGTCAAGCAATGCAATAAAGATGATATATCCGTAAGCATTTTCAGTGTAAAAGAAGAAGATTCCAGCAAAGATCTCAATCAGCTTGAAGCCTCGTTCATGTACTCCCGAATATTCAAGGAAATTCTCCTCGATATGGAACATGGTGAACAAGCCAAGAAGGATTTTATTCAATTTTGGCGAAACGAATACAAGAATAACAAAGCTAAAGCAGAAGATATCAGTGAGTTCGAACGTCAATATAGTCCAGAATCATCAATTTGGTGGTACACTCGCGAGCCCTTTCTCTATATGATGCTCAACTTATGTCTTCGAACTCTGGATGGCGAGATAATTATAAAAATGGGTTTTTTTCTTGCTGATCTGCACCGACAAATCGACAGTTTACATAAACAACAGGTCAGTCTTTATCATGGGAAGATCTTTCAAGTTTTTCGGGGACAAGGATTATCGATAGTCGACTTTGACAAACTCGAGAAGAACAAAGGTGGACTTATTTCCTTCAATAATTTTTTATCCACCAGTACAGATCAAGCTGCTTCTCTTGCTTTTGCCGAAAGTGCCACAATAACACATGGCATGGTGGGTATCCTTTTTCAAATGTCCATAGATCCAACCATCTTATCAAGTTCATTTGCCTCTATTCGGGGACTGAGTTATTTTCCTGAAGAAAATGAAATCCTCTTCTCCATGCATACCGTTTTTCGAATTGGTGAAATTCGAAAACTTGACAATGAAAGCTCACTGTATCAAGTAAATCTTACATTGACATCGGATGAAGACCAACAACTGCGTCAACTCACAGAAAATATACTAGGAGAAGATTCACATCGAACGTGTTGGGGACGATTGGGTATATTGCTATTTAAAACAGGACAATATAGCAAGGCCGAGAAATTGTATACAGCATTACTCGAACAAACATCCAACGACGGTAGTAGAGCTGCAATTTACAGCAATCTTGGACTGATGAAAGACCATCAAGGACTATACCAAGAAGCAGCATCATTTTACGAAAAATCCCTCGAGATCATGCGAAAAACTCTTCCAGCAGGTCATCCCAATTTGGCTACTTCCTACGACAACATCGGTGGAGTGTATTACAACATGGGTGACTACTCGAAAGCACTTGAATTTTACGAAAAAGCACTTCAAATCTTCGGAAAAGCTCTGTCTCCAAATCATTCATTATTGGCTACTTCCTACAACAACATCGGTATAGTGTATAAAAACATGGGTGACTACTCGAAAGCACTTGAGTTTTACGAAAAAGCACTTCAAATCGACGGAAAAGCTCTACCTCCGAATCATCCTTCATTGGCTACTTCCTACAACAATATCGGTATGGTGTATCAAAACATGGGTAACTACTCGAAAGCACTTGACTTTTACGAAAAAGCACTTAAAATAAGAGAAAAAGCTCTGCCCCCGACTCATCCCGATTTGGCTAGTTCCTACAACAACATCGGTGGAGTGTATGACAACATGGGTAACTACTCGAAATCACTTGAATTTTACGAAAAGACAATTAAAATAAGAGAGGAAGCTCCGTCTTCGAATCATCCCGATTTGGCTACTTCCTACAGCAACATCGGTAGTGTGTATTATAACATGGATAACTACCCGAAAGCATTTGAATTTTACGAAAAAGCACTTAAAATAAGAGAAGAAGCTCTGCCTCCGAATCATCCTGATTTGGCTGATTCCTATAACAACATCGGTATGGTGTATGATAGCATGGGTAACAACTCAAAGGCACTTTCTTTTCTGGAAAAGGCACTTACTATAGCACAAAAATCACTTCCACCTACACATCCTCATATTCAGATAATGATAGATAACATTAATGATTTAAAAAAGACGTGAATTTGTTATCTTTTTGTTTGCTCAATAAATTCGATTTTACTGCTAATCATTCTATCTGGCGTTCCTTGGCTCTTTATCGCGCACTGACATGCGCCGGTAGGGTGATTCCCGACGGACCTGGTAGAATAGAAGCGAAGCGGACTGTGCCGAACTGCTCTGGCACTCTTCTTAAGTGTGACGTACACAGTGAAGGATAGGAATCGTACGAGGATAGTGACTTTGTGAGCACTAAACTGCCATAACCTGTCAGGAACGGAGGATATCCCTTCTGAGAGTGCGAAGCCACCTGAAGGGCTGTGATAAAAAAGAAAAATAGATGTTATACTTACCAGGACATTACTATGACAAGAAGAATAAGGGGTTAACTTATTATTAAACTTTTCTACGTCCTGGGTATTAATAATTTATACTAACATGCAAACCACTCAACTTTTCAACAGCGACTAAAATCAATCTCACTACCATTTGCATCTCAACTACTCATACTCCCAAACACCCACTAACGTCTACTCTGTATGATTAATAGAAAAAATACATCGTCAACAAAGGCGATCAAATTGACCCTCTCCACACCAACACTGACAAATACTCACGATCTATCTTTTGATCGGAATATGTATCATCTCGGAATTACCTTTCTTAATAAATTTTTTTCTGAAAACATCAGAACAGTTCCAAAAACAATAAAAGATTCGCTTAACATTCAGCATCACCACATTAAACGCCAGCTGCATCCAACTTATATTCATTGACATCCACAAAAATATTCAACTAACTTGTCTCTGAATACAACTGAAATAA